TTACCTACATGCAGACAGATCGAGGGGCTTCTCTAGGGAACTGGCCAGCTGCCCTGTGCCCATGCGCATAGCCTCCTGCCGCAAACACGCTTGGTGATTTTCTATAAGCTACTGCCTTAGAATCTTTGAGACATGCTTTTTTGGGAAATGCACAGATCTTTAAGCCGAGTTCTGTGTTAAATTTTCTTTTTAATGGAAAAATACTAAGTCGGGACCCTTCCGAGCTGTAGACGCCCCAACTTCTGTGTTGGTTTTCCCTCAGTTGAAGAGCGTGATAAAGGGTCCATTGGTTCTTCAGTATCTTTTGACCAACTTACCAAGTCAAGATGACGTCAACACTAAAAAACGTCCATGAAACCATCTTAAAAGAAACAGATCATGAGAAAACACAGCTTCCTTTTGAATTAAATAAATAAAACAAAAACCCAAACCTTGAAATAGCTAAGGCGTGCCACTTAAAAATAGCCGCTCCCTTAAAAATTCCCCACTCTCAAGCCCATGCTCAGTGTTCCATGGTGCTGGAGCAGCCAGAGGGCCTTTGTTGCCTTCCTGGGGAGTCCCCTGGGGTGCTCTGCCATCTTGCACAGGTGCAGGACTGGCAGCGGAAGTGTTGGAGCATCCGACTCTAGCCCAGCCTTTCCTTTAACACATCAGGTAGTCACGTCTGTGCCCAGCACTCAGGATCCATGTCACCACAACAGGACCACAGCAGAAGGGTCTTTCTGACCTCCATAGATTTTACTGTGGATATGGATGGGAGAGACCTTGGAGAAGATTCTGTAAACACAGTGGTTAGTCTGTTGTTTATGAGGGCTTCCTCCATATTATACCCATAGTGCTCTACGATAGTCTCAAGAAGCCCTCCTTCAGAACTGGACAGAGGACAGAGCCTGAGGGACACAGTGAGCATTTGTAGCAGAAGGCGGGGCCAGCGTCTTTGCCCTTGCACCTGCCTTGCTCATACCTTCCTGACCTGCTTGTCCTCACGTGCTTGAGAAGCAGTCCAGTGTGCGGGCCAGCACCGTTCAGTGTGCAGACAGTGTTGGACCATGTGTGGGGAACAGGTGCTAGGGAGATGAAGGCTTCATAAACCCCACCCTGGAGCTCCCTGCTACTCAGCACACGGCCCTTTATCTTTTATCATCATTAATGCCTCAGGAATTAATACTGGCATCTCCTTGACAAAAGAAGAACCAGAGCTGGAGAGACCGAGCGCTTGTCTAGGTCCCAGGCAGTGAGGGGCCAATCAGGGCTCAGCTCTCCTGGCCATTGGCTGAGCACAGGAGACTGATGCTGTTGGTCTCCCTGCACCCTGGCTGCCCACGCTGGCCTGCAAAGACTGTTTTGTCAGGGTCAGTGCAGAGCTGTGATTCAGTCTCCCCAACTCCCGAGCCTTTGCTGTTTTTGTGAGATGGTGGCTGGGAAACTTACACCTCAAGGGAGGCACCCTCACCCAGGTTCCTGGGCCATGGAAGTGGGCATCTGGGCCCTAGGAGCACCCTGGTGTGGTGGTCCTGGGCCTGTGAGGTTCAGGAAGTCTACAGACAGGCATCCCGTGTGCACACTGCAGGTGCCGTCTAGATCAATCTGGGGCTGTTTCCCAGAAAAAGCTAATTCTGTAGCCTGATCTTCCAATGTGGGAAGGGATTTACAGCCCCAGGAGAGTGTCATATCCCTGCCCTGCAGCTGCTGCCTGCCCCCCCCCCCCATCGCTCAACACACAGCCATGTGCCTGTAGGGAACGCTTCTGGTAGCTTCACGTGTTGACAGCTGGGCCCCTTCCATGGTTGCTGGGAGCTTTCTGGTTGCTTCCTTTGATTCCTGGAGAGTGTTGGCAACCAAAAGTGTATGTGCGCAGCTCAGAGTGCAGATGGACATGGAGGGGCCCTGGATGCTGTTCAGGGAGGCCACCGGTAGGTGGAGTGGGGCTTTGTAAGGAGTGGTGGGGATGGGACCTTGTAACAACTCAAACCCTTCTTAGCCAAGGGAGGCTTGAATTCCACAGGGGTCTCTCCCCACCCACGATCAGTCCCTGCACCCTGGCTCTGGATCAGAGTGTCCAGAACTGCATTCCCAGGTGTCCCCTTTCCTCTAGATCTTCCTCTTGGCTTCTCAGGTAGAAAGACCCTTCCTTCTCCTAGGAATTATCAAGCGGTTATGATGTTATGGGTATATGGCCAAGTTAAGAGTCAGAGAGACAGAATCCAGTCAGCCTAACCCTGTCTAGGGTCTGCTGGGAGGACTTTGGTTTGGGGTCTTTCCCACAGGGCCCTGGTGCAGAGCTCTTGCTGCTCCAGCCTCGGAACTCCTCCCTTAATCGCTGGAGCCCTCCCCTAATCAGATCTCAGTGGGTTTAATTTTTTGCTCCCTTCTGCTCCATTTTTGTTGTTCTTATGGTTATCATTTGTTTTGCATTTAAGACAAGGTCTTATGTATAGTCCAGGCTGGCCTTTGGATTATGATCGTTTTTGCTGAGCCTACTGAGTGCTGGGATTATAGATATGCACCTCCACACCCAACTTACTGCCTTTTTAAAGTACAGAGTTCCAGTCTGGAGAGAGCGCAGTCAGTCAAAAGTTTGCAAGGAAAACTCGGGTTTGATCCCCAGAACCCATGCACAGGAAATCAGGTGTGGCTGGAAGTTTGGCTTGCATGCATGTCTGCTGTGCATCATGTGTGTAGTGCCTGAGGCAGCTAGAAGTAGGCGTTGGTTCCCCCGGAACTTTTTAAAGTCAGGTGTGGTGACCTGTAATTGTAGTCCCGGGGCTGGGGCTCACTGGGCAACCAGTCTAGCCTAATGGACTATTTCCAGGGGAGGAAGTGGGAGTGGGCTGGAGAGATGGATCAGAGATTAAGAGTGCTGGAGAGATGGATCAGAGATTAAGAGTGCTGGTTGCTCTTTCAGGGAAACCAGGTTCAATTCCCAGCACCCTCTTCTGGCCTCCTCAGGTACTGCACACGTGTGATGCATAGCCACGCATACAGGGAAAACACTCCTATGCAGAATATAAAGATAAGTAAATCTTTAAAAAAACAAAAAATGGTGGCTACTTCCTGAGAAATGACACTGAGGTTGTCTTCTGGTCTACACACTACAGCTGAAAAAGCTAGAATCCTACTATTTGAGAGCCAACAATGCAGGCTCAGGCTTTGTGGTCAGGTTTCTAAATATACTCCCTGCCCGGAATGCTGAGGAGCTCAGAGTTGAGAGCCGCAGCCTGTCCTGTTCCCGGCTCCTGTCCTGAGACCCACTGCTCCTGTCCTGAGACCCACTGCTCCCAGTAGCCTGAACACACAGAGGTTTTTTGCCACCTCTTTTCTTGCTGAGCCATGTGCTATGGGCTTCTATTGCAGCAGGTGTTTATAAATTAGCGTGGTGGGTTCCACATCTGCCATGAGTGTGTGAACAGGAGGGAGCTGACCACGAGCCACTAAAAGCGGCCACATCTGGGGGTTGACTATCGTGACACCAGAGAGACCTGCTGTGCAGAATTTGCTCCTGACAGGGCACTGCCCTGCACTCCTGCCTGAGGCATCTTCTGGCCCACAACACAAGAAGGAGTTCTGAGCTGAGCAGGACAGGCTGGGTCAGTAGAAGGGACAGAGACTGGATTTCTGGAAGGGTGGTCGAGTCAGTATTGTTGGGATATGGTACTTGGAGAATAGGGCACCACATGGAGAGGTCAGCCCAACTCTGGCTACATTGAGTGTAAGTGAAGTGAGGGTATAGAAGGCTGGTCCAGGGGCAGCTGATGGCTGGCTGTGTGCTGAGAGAATCGCAGAGCTGCCAGAGGGCAGAGATGTCTAGAGTGTGGATGTTTAGTTCATTTTTCTTTGCTGTGACATTTCTGAGGCTGGGTACGTCATAAATCAGGGTGGTTTTCATAGCTCAGTTTCAGAGGTTAGAAATCCAATATTAGGTAGCCCTGACAGTTTAGTTTCTGTGAAGCCCTTACTGGTATGTTTGTTTGTTTGTATCATAGAGGATGGGATCCTAGCAGGGGCAGATGTAACTGTGGCTGGAGTGGCGGGGGCTGTAGCAGTCCTAGTGGGAGCAGATGGTGGTGGTGGACGCTGGGGATAATAAATGGGACCCTGTGCATAGCTGATGGTGAGCGCACACTGGACATGGAGATCACATGTTGAGACAGGAAGGGGCCTATGACGGTTGTCCACTGGGCCTCCCCTCATGAAGATCCCTAAGGAAACCACACTGGTGACCAAGCTCCCAACATTGGATATGCTGGAGTTCTCAGCAGCTGCCATGCCAGATCTCAGTGTAGTGGTGCAGCCCTGTGTGACACCATTGTCACTCGATGGAAACCAGCTGTTTCAGTGCCTTTCCACTTCTGGGTGATAATCTCAACACTGCAGTCGATCATGACAGAATTTTTTAAAAATGTGATTGTATTCTTTTAAATTGGGGGGGGGGGGGGGGGGGCGGGTAGGTGTTAGCATATGAATGCGGGTGCCCATGACAGACAGCATTGGATCCCCCACCCCAGAGTTGGAGCACAGGTGCCTGTGAGCCCCCTGATGTGGCTCCTGGGAACTGACACAGGCAAGAACGCTGTGCACTCTGACTGCTGAGCCATCTCTCCAGCCCTGTGATGACAGGGTTTTACAAGGCAAACCTAAAGGAGGTGGTGGGCAGGAGTTCTCTGGCAGTGGAAAGCTGTGGTAGCAACTGTGCAGGAGCAGATGTGACACCGCTAGAGAGTGAAGAAGTAGCCAGGTGTGGGGACAGCCCCCGTTCAGGAGACCGAGGCAGGAGGATTGGGAGTCAAGGTCATCCTCAACTGTAGTGAGATCCTGTCTCAAGAAACAAAAAAGTGGGGTTGGAGAGATGACTCTTCAGTTAAGAGCCCTGACTGCTCTTCCAGAGGTCCTGAGTTTAGGTCCCAGTACCCATGTGGTAGCTCACAACTGTCTGTAAGTCCGGTTCCAGGGGATCCAACACGCTCATACAGACATGCATGCAAGCAAAACACCAGTGCACATAAAAGTAAATTATTTTTAAAAAGAAAGAAACAAAAACCTTAGGTAACTACTGTGCTTATTTCTACGGTGCTCTTCCTGTGTCGTCAGACTGAGCCATGGAATGGAGGATGGCAGCCGTCGGGCAAGGTGGCCATTATAGTCTGGACACCCTCCAGCAAACCCATGGTCTCCGATCGGCCCCTGCACCCATGCCGTTATGTCTTTGACCTGAATGTTCTCAAGGCGCACCTGTTGATCTGGGAAGAGAAGCTGTCTTGTTTGCGTAGGTTGAGGTGACCGCAGCAAGCTTCTGTTTGTTAAGCACCACCCAGAACACGTGAACCCTGCCCAAGCTCCCCGGAAAAGCACTCTTCCTGAACACCAGGACGGGGTGTGGCTTGTGCCTGTAGACAGGCCCTGTCTAGCCCCCTACTCTATCCAAGGGCATGCTGTGGTCCGGTGCCCGCCTGCATCTCTGTGTCAGGCGTTCAAGGAGACCCAGCAACCTGAGCCTGCACCCTGTGTGAAGGACGAGGGTGACCACCAAGTTGATACAACTCTCTCCAGAGAGGGCCAGCTCTGCGAGGTTCATGAGCAGCTCATCCTTGGGGGAGCCCACATCCTTCCGAAGCTTCAGCTGGGCCCGATGCAGGAGGACCACATTGAAGAAGAGTCTACAGGCAAACATGTTGAGAGTCACGGCCAGTACCGCCCAGTGCCCAGAGGCTGGGTCCCTCGGAGCAGGAGCCACCCGCCAGGCTGGGTATGTAGCATGCAGGAGAAGGAGAACCATCTGAAAGCTCATGGCAAGCGCGAAGCCCAGGCTGAACTTGACGATCTCATATTCGGGCCATGCCGTCAGTGGATCCACCTGGCACACAGTGGTTGCGTGCAACTCCCCAGATGTGCCCAGTAGGGACACCAGGATAAGTGAGCTACACACAGCACAGGCTCCGATGGCAACTAGACTGGCCACAGGCCTCACCAAGAGCTGGCGGCCTGAAGATCCCGGCAGAAGAACCTGGACAAGCATGGCCCCCTGCAGGTACTGAACTGTAAAGTAGCAGACATTGGAGAAGAATGAGAGTATCCCACAGCCCAGGTTTGTCGTGGCCATGTAGTCAGGCCGGCCAGCAGCATTGAGGGACAGTAGAGTCACCAAGATGCTAGTGACTGTGAGGCCTGCAAGGAGCCTGTCCAGCACCCCCAGCCTAGTACGTTCCCGGATGAACACGCTTAGACAGAAGAGCCCTGTTACCAGGCTCAGCGGGACACACACCGCTACATACACATGCGTGCACCTAGAAATGATGCTCTGTGCTGCAATGACATCCTCCACAGCTGGGGACACATGGCTAGGGTAGCGGATCCAGGACATGTTGTGACGGTCCATCTTCAGGGCAGCTGTCACACCTGCAACAGAAGCACATGCTGTGTGGCTGTGTGGCTGGCCCAGGGAGGGACACCTGTGCAGGACAGGGGGCCAGGTCTCTAGAGGGTGCCTAGAGCCAGCCTCTGTGTGAATGGAGAAAGAATGTCAGAGCCCAGTCTTGGTGTTGAGAACAAGGGCACAGGTCTAGTGAGCCTGGTGCTAAAAAGTGCTGGATGAGTCAAGAAGCCCCGGGCACCCGCACTGCAACTCACAAGGACCCTCTACCCCCTGACACACACACACACACACACACACACTCACACACACACTGTCGCTTGGCAGCTAACAGTAGCCTTTGAACATGGCTCTTAGCAGTGGTCTGTCTCCCAGGAAGGGTTCAGCTGGCAATTTTCCAGGAACGGGGTTTTAGGGGCCCCAGCACTGTGTCACTAGCACTGGCTGCCATTGCTGGGGACAGGTACGCCTTTGCATTTGAGACTCTGAGACAATGTAGAAGATTCTGGCCATGGCTAGTTTTGACCTTTGTAGGGACCCTTTTCTAGAAACTGGGGTACCATGTATGTTATGGAGGCTGGAATGATGTGGGGGCTTTCTGGGATGGCCAGGTTAGCTAGGAGTCACTTAGTAGCTGTAAGTTCCCAGGCAGGGCTTTAAGTAAGGACACTGACAGCCCCAGCACTCTGCCCGCCCATGCTTGATAAATGAAATAATTTTGTTTCCATACAAATGGCACCTTCCGCCCTTTAAAATATAACTAAACAGTAGTGGAGGCTAGGAAATAATATTGCCGTTTATTCAAAGGAAATTGAGGGTGATAAAACTGGAGCCGTAATTTTAATGGGATTCCTGAAGCCTGGCCTAGCTCCACAGCCAGCTTTTGTTTGCTCTGAAGATGGACCGCATATCTGGGGAAATGTGGGTGTGGGTGTTGGCCTGATCTGGCTCCTGCACACAGTGTGACTGCAGTTTACTGGTGTGTGACTCTGAAGTAGAGAATGGCTATAACCAGCCAGCTTTTCCCCTTAGTAACAACTCCTCAGAGCTTGCCATGCACTTGGTGTTGTGCCTGCTCTGTACCCAGACTGAGGTTCTGTGTCTCTCTGTGGTGTTTTGGGTGAGATGGTCCCCATAGGCTCAGGTATCTGAACACTTGGTCCCCAGTTGGTGGTGCTCTTTGAGGAGGTTTAGGAGTTCTGGCCTTGCTGGCGGGAAGAACGTCACCGAGAGCACACTTTGAGGGTCTGAAGCCTAGCCCCCCTGTCAGTTCCCCTGCTCTTCCTCCCTGGTTCATGACTGTGGTTCAGGATGCCCGCTGCTTGCTGCCATACCTTCTCGTATGTCGTTTAAAGAATCTCTGTTTCTCTACAATAACAAAACCCAAAGGCTACAGCAGCGGTTGTGTATACAAAACATGGTGGGAGATACTGCTTCACTTACAGACAGGTTCCTGACCAGAGATGAGACAGGAAAGAGTGGTGGACAGGGAGAGCTGTGTGCAGAGGAGGATGGAGAAGGGCAAGTAGACCTTTGGGGTCCTGGGCTTCAGGATCCCACCCCGGTCATCAGCTCGCTCGCTGTGCGTTGCTGTCCTGTTCTCCCCATCACCCTGCAGACCTGGAGGACAGTTCTCTTTGTGTGTCCCAAGCTGCAGGAAGGTGACCCTTCTTGGCCCTGTGATGCCACACTGAACTTGACTTTGATGAGTCTGCAGAGTGTTTGGATGTTTACAGTGCCGCCGCTGACCAGCCTTTGCCACTCCCTCCCCACGGGCCTGCGGGCTCCTCGTCGTATCTGTCTCTTTCAGTCTGAAAAGACAGCAGTGGCCGTGGTAACTTCCAGCTGCCGGTGCTGCCGGAGCCAGCGGTGTGGAAATGAAGAAGTCATGGCCGGCTCGGGAGGAAGCGATCTGAAGTCTGTCTTGTCAGGTGGAATGGGAAGTCGTCTTGTGATCTCCGACCGTGGTCAGGAAGCGGAGCTGCTGAGCAGACATCTGATGTATCTCTGCAGCCACTCCATGCCCCATGTGCGCGGTGTGCTACTGGGTACTGTGTCTGCGGCCATCCGTCACCAAGGGCCTCTCTGGCTGGCAGCAGTCAGCCCTGCCTCTGTCTGGCTATGGCCTGCCTCTGGTTCTCAGCCGGTGGACCAGGGTGGAGGGGCCTCACTCAGGTCCCAAATGCTCTAGCACCATCTGGACCCACGCAGAGTGGGCTTCAAATCACCTCAGTTCTTGGGTCTCAGTGTTCCAACTATGTACTGAGTACCAGTATGTTCTGGGTACCAGACTCCTTCCCAGCTGGGAATGTGAGAGGAAAGGATGGATTCCTGAGAGGTGGTTACTCATGCAGCGCAGCCACGCCTGGGGGCTCTGCTTCCTGTACCTGACCCTGCTCAAGTTGAGGTGCCATCCTGCACTTTTGTCCCTTGAGGGTGGGAGGAAACCCATGCAGACTAGGTGAGCTTGTCTCCCTCCCTGGCCCTCTAGAGCTCCCCAGTCCTGTCCTGCAGAGGCCAGCTGGGGAAGGAGTAGCCAAGAGCCTTCTACTTCATGCAGTGTGACTACCCTGTGCGCAACACCTCGCGGCACACCTTACTGCCCTGTCTTTGTTAGGGTTAGGGGGGTCTAGTCCTTCTTGGGAGGCACATGACTCCAGACCTAACCAACACCTCGTCTATCCACGGGACCACCTGGCCCCTTTACCAACATAGTCTACGTGGCATCGCCACTGAAACCATCTACTGTCAAAGCTTCCACAATCCACTCTTCACCACCCAGCCTCTGTCCTATCTTCTAGCACTCTGTGTCCAGGCCTTCTCTGTAGCCTTGACAGCTCCTCGACTCCCCTTCCTCCACAGCCAGCTCCAAGCTGGGTGGAAAAAGGAGGAGAGGCAGTGGTGCTGCCCAGGGAAGCCAGCCCGAGTGGCCCCCAGTGGTCTCTCACTGGGCAATGCTGTACATGAGCGCTGGAGTGCTTGTGTCTGATAATGCACTTGAACCTCAGTTCAGATGTGTGGTAGCACAGCCATGCCCTGCTTTAATGCCTGGGTCAGCCTGGCCTAGTTTGGCTGAGAGCTTGACCCTCTTCTTGAGATCATTTTAAAAGCACATTTGTAGAGATGACACACCTCTTGGCAGGCACCCCCTCGGATCTGGCCACAGCCCTTGACACAGCTTCCTCCCTGACCGCCCCTGGCGCCCAACCCTGGCAGCCATTGTCTGCTTTATCTCTTGCAACTTTGACATTTCCAGATCAGCCTGTGGTCGGTCTCCTTGGAACCTACAGGTCTTGCTCTCTTGTGCACGTGAGGTGCCTCCCCCCCTGCACTGAGTGACCTGGTTGTCACTGCCTGGCCCTCCAGTAGTCTCTTCCTGTCACTAAGAAGTCCGAACAGTGCTAGCCGCTCTTCCCCAGCTGCTCTCAGGCCTCCAGTGCAAGCACTTTCTTTTCATCTGGGCGCATATCTGAGATCGGCGTGGCTAGCTCTAGGGTCAGATGAGGCCACCAGCCTTCCAGGGTAGCTGCATCACCCTACTCTCCTGCCACAGCCCAACCTAGCTTCCTGGAGAACCTAGAATTCCACAGAAGAGGGACAGACACTCCGTGGACGCATATCAGGCTGAGAACCTGGGATCTCCAGAGCCCTGCAGAAGGGCTGACTTCGGCAGCCCTGTGTCCTTTGGGATCTCCCCAAGGCTAGCATCTGAGAACACTGTGTTCCTACGGTGGCTCTTGGCCACCACTCTGTGAATAGCCCTTCAGAATGGTTCCTGTAATTGTGACCCCCTCACTTACTCAGCACTGCTTTGGTGAGGAAAGAGGATGAGCAGAGCCCAGGGCATTGTCCAAAGGCCATGAGAGCGCTTTGCAAGCCCTTCCCATACAGGCATGATGCTCCTACAGACCCTTCCAAACCACACTTATTCTGTAGATCTTTCCAGCAGGACCCACAAGTTCTGCACAGATGTGGCATGTGTAAGATTCAATTGGGTGACCCACGGATGGCATGGGTGGCCTTGTATGTGTGTGCTACAGCAGGTAAAGTGACCTTGGCATACTTTTGTGGCACAGGTCACATAAAGACTTGCTGACTCCCCACTACCTCCACAGTTCCACCAGTCTCAGAGCAAGTCTTTTGAGGAATCACAGGTTTGCTGTAATGCCCCCCAGACTGCCAGCCAAAGGCGAGGGAGGCCTGCGAACCCGTCGTGTGAGATTTCAGAGCTTCACAAGCTGAGTCCGTGGCTGGCGCGTGGAAAGCCAGAGCTGCCCCAGGAAGTGGATTCCTATACCTGACCCGCTGCGCTCTATCCTGGGGGCCCCACCTCCCTCCATCCCCTCAGCCAGCTTCTCCTTCTGGCAGGACTTAGCCATTCTAGCGCCTCTGGCCTTGGCTCTGTAAATGTTTCCATCCCAGTCTCCTGCCCTGCAGACTGGGGAGGACCCGCTGGTGAGTCACTGTGTCTGCTTCACACACACGGCCTGATGTCCCCCTCCAGCCCCTAGCCAGCCCTCTGCACAGAGGTGCGACCTTGGAGAGGAGCTCGGACTGACATCATGGTGGTGTGTAGGACCACCCAACCCAGGGATCTGGAAAGGCAGCACTGGACTCACTGACTGTCACAGTGGACAGCGCGGGCCTGCCTGTCTTTGATTGTCCTGTTGGTCCCAAGGCCGTCTGTTTCTATACTTATTTTTAGGAATCGAGACAATCACCTTCACTAAGATAATGATAAAAAGCCGTGTCCTGTTTGCTTTTCTCGAATCTTGCAGATAAAGTACATGTGTCTTTTGTCTCGTGTAGACGTGTGTGTGTATGTGTGTATACACCAGACACACGAACATGCAAATAAGCATGCGCATGTGTGTATACCCAGGCACACCCCAACACACAAGTGTCCATGTGCACACACATAGGTAGATATGCATCTGGAGACACCGAAACCCAAACATGCACACACCAGACGCACCCTAACATGTAGCTGTGTGCGCCTGTGTAGGCACAGTTTTACAAACAGGCACACACATGAATACACTTGCACACACACCAACACATGTTGTACTGTATATACACATGCACACGTACACACAGACGCTGGCCTCTGGGAGCTTCAGCACTGCTCCTGGCCCCATGTGCTGTATGCTAGATGGGCACTCCAGTCCAGTGACCAGTGGCCTAGCTGGGCGGAGCTGCCTTGCCTCACGCAGGCGTCATGCTTCCTGCAGAGTGGGAGTTCCAGGGGCCTGTGGGTAAGAAGGCAGACCCCTCCTGTGCCGTCCGACTGAGGCAGTAGGCCTCCTAGCACCCCCTCGTCTTTTTTTCCAGGAACTATAGCCTACTCCTTCCGTGGCAACATGTTAAATGGGAGCCCTCTTTGTGGTTATTTGAGGCCTGTGTTTTCTCAGCTTCCCCTTCCGTGAGCACCAGAGATGAGAGTGGAGGGATGGACCCAGAGAGGGTGAGGTGGGACCCTGGGAAGTTTCTGCATTTGCTGGTTATCTGCCCCTCTTCTGCCTTACACATTGCTGTGCGTGGCACCTTTCCCACAAGACTGAGCTTGGGGAGTGCTGACGAGCAAGCTGGCCTTTAAATCCCTGTTCAGGACTGGTGGGTCTGACCCTGAACACTGGAACTGAACAGCCCTGTCACCAGGTGCCACGTGCCCCCTGAGACCCTCTGCTGCCCTGAGATCCAGTAGCTTAAACAGCTACTCAGGGCTGTTGGGTCGAAACCCTCATGATGCCTATGGCAAGTGTGGGTAACCCACAGTTTCCCCAAAAGCAGGATTTGCTCCAAATACCAAGCAAGAAATCGAACCTTCCTGTGTTGAACTGTCTGAAGTAGTGGGGGTGGGGTAAGTAGTTCGGAGGTCACCAGGAGAGAGGTGTTTGGTATTTTGTGACTTTTCGCAGTCTTGAGTCACTCGCTGTTGTTTCTCTGAGGATAGACACAGCCACCGAGGGGGGTGCCTTCCTACTACAGTGGCAGACCAAGGAGGGGGGCCCATGATCAGACCCTTTCCTGCCCTCACTCTGCAATATCTGGCACGCAGCAGTGGCAGCAGCGACCACAAAAGGGGATGGCAAAGGAGTCTGGTCTGAGCCACGGTGGCACGGGCTTCTGAGAGTAAAAGTGATGGGTTCTCTCTGCAGCCTGCCCTCCATGGCGCCTCCCTGTGGGTGCTTCCCCCAGCTACAGGTCTTCCAGACCCTTTTGGCCCGCTGTTTATTCTAGGTCTTGATGGCATCCTGCCTGAGCTGGGTGTGGACAGGAGGAAAACCTCTGGCTAGCTAGAGCCAAACGGGTGAACCCCAGAAGAGGGGATAGGAGGGCAGTGGGGCGCTTGACTGGGTCAACTTCCCTAGCAGGAGCAAAGGCTCCATGTCATGTTGTCTCTGGGGGCCCAGTGAGCCATCAGCACCACAGCTGTGTCCCCATGCATCTGCAGGGAGAGATGAGTCAGGGTCCCCTTCAAGCTGTGGTCTTGGGCCCACTAACTGGTCCCAAGGAGGCACTGCCGAGCACCACTGGGAGACTCGTGCTGGAGGTCTTGGGAAGTGAGCTGAGCCCACTTGGCGAGGCTCTCCTCGCCTTGGCTCACAGGGACACGTGTCAGGGGCATCACACTAACTCATCTGAGCACAAAGCTCACCTTGTACAGAGGTAGTCAGCCCTGATGGCCCAGTCTCCAAAGGCTCTCTCCCAGCCCCTGCCCAGGCATTCCTGCTGTCTGGGCTTCTGCCTCCCCCCGCCGCAGTCAAGCCAAAAGACTTCTCTGTTTTCAGGTTTCCCGCCCCGTGCAAACACACATTCCAGATGTGCCCACTACAGACCAGTCTTTATGTTCCGCCACACCAGGCTCTCCCCATCCTACCCTACTCCCTTGATGAGAATCCTCCAGTAGTGGTTAGCCTGACAGCCCTGCCGACATCGGCTCTGCTTTCTCATCATCCTCTAATCTGTCCCCATTTCCCTGTGAGAGCTGACCAGAACCACCATGAATCCTTCCTTCAGGAAGCAGCTGGATCGTCTTACCAAAGGCTAGAGTTTTCTTTTACTTAACGGAATTGACCTGAACCATAAGGAAATTGGTTTTCACAAACTTCCCCGGGGCACATTCACTGGTAAGTCCGAGGCAGGAGGACAAGCTGAGTGGGCAGGGCTGCTACCTCCCCAGGGCATAAGAAGGTGCTCACCTGTGCCAGGGACCCACACAAGGCTCCGTTAGCAGTCAGGGGCTGCTGTGGGACTGGGGCATGCTCCCTGTTCATCCAGCCGTTCCTCCATTGCTCCACACTTGCCAAAGACAGGCTGGCACAGACGCCCACAGCTCCTGAGGAAAAACAGGATTCGGCCTGGAATCATCCAAACCACACACTGTGTTTAAGCGGGCTATGGTTGGACCATGTGACCTAGAAGAATCCAAATGGACCTATGTCTGAGGTGGACGAGTGACACGTGTGTGTGAGTCTGAGGGTTTCCAGAGCTCTCTTCAGAAGTGTGTGGGCCACTCGCAGAAGGTCCCTCCCAGAAGGCAAAGACATTTGCAACCTAAAATAGGAGCTGAAGCCCCACCCAGTCACAAAAAGTTCTCCCAACCAGAACAAACCAGCGCCTGGTACCTTGCCACATGGATGAGGGGCTGGCCCCTCTGTCCTTGACACACGGTGACTCAGGGCAATGGACACTCCAGCCTGGATGGCAGGTGACACTGGACACCCCTTACTACCCACACACCAATGGCCAGAGCTGCACCTTGAGGTTGCATGGAGTGGGGGCTCTGCCTGGACATGACGCCAGGAGGCGCGTCAGCTTGCTGGTGTCCAGCATCCTCTCCACCAGGCTTTGCCCAGGATGCCATGATGCTGGCTGGGAGGAGTCCTGAGCAGAGGCACCAAGTTCTGAAGGGAGAGCCTCAGCCAAATGGAGGTAAACAGTCTTGGGAATGCTTTCAAAACTTAAAATGCAGTGGTCTTTACCCCACCCCCGTGTATGCCCACTTTTGCAGCTTACCTCCTGTTGTAGGCTGTTTGCGTGGCATCGGCCCCAAGCCGCCTTGTACTGGTCTCAGGCAGTTCCTTCAGCGTCCTGAGTACTGTGGAGAGCCATCCCAGCGCTGCGCCTGGGCCTCTTGGTAGTTCCTGTGGGGCACACTGCTCTCTGACTTGAAGGGGTGTTAGAAAGTCAGTAGTTGGGGACCTGGACCCTTCTTGAGTGCATTTTCAGCTCTGGATGCTGCCAGGATACTCCCCAGGAAGGAAGAATCTAACTGGTGGGAGAGAAGTCTGAGGAGGCTAATGGCTGAAGAGGCCTCATCCCTGTTGCCTCCCTCCTCCGGGACAGTCCCTGCACCCTCCCTTGCCCCCTTCCTGCCTGATGTGTGAAGGCAGCTCTCAACCCACATCCGCTGTGTCAGCCGCCTATGTTCCCCTTCCTGGCCCTGAGTTCAGTGTGGTAGATTCAGCTCATGGACTCAGACTGGTGGGACTACCAAGGGCCACTCTCCACTGCTTTGTCTTGGGGTCGCCTCTGGTACTTCCATATTTGACCCCAATTCTCTGTACGACCGCTGGATGTGTCCTTCCTAATGGCCTTTGACAGTTCTGTAAAACACTATTGTATCCCTACTGAGAATGGTCCCTGAGTGACCTCTGGCCCTTACCCTTTCCGGTGCCCCTTGCATATCAGGCTTCCCCTCTCCAGCCTGCTTTGCGTCACTTGGGCCTCTCAAAGTGTTAGTGCCTGGCCCCTCCCCTGGGAACTGGACAGGGTGTAGAGGCAGGGTGGGGCCTCTGGGTTGATAATCCCCTCCTTCCCAAATTCTGTTTGCCCGCTGGTAAGGGAAGTACAGACTTGGGCTCTGAAGCCTACTGCTGTTTCCTCTGCCTGAGAAATGCAATACCTCTCGGCCCAATGGGAGGAGCCCTGGGAACAGGCAGTGGGACTAGAGGCCCTGCAGCTTGAGTTGAGCCACAGTCAGGTGCTGACCAGCCTGCCTGGTGTCAGTGCTCAGGCAATGGAACCTCATGGGGACTGCAGAGCAGGCTGCTGGGCACAGCCGCCTCCCCATCAGCCTCTCCACCTTGAGAGGGCCCTGCATGCCCTCCAGGCCTGAGGCTTCTGCCTGCCTGCCCCATGCTGGCCCTTAGGCTGACCGCACAGGCATGGGACAACAGAACTGCGGTGGCTGCTCTCTGGTGTGTGATCTTTAGAGGCAGACGCCCCATCCCCAGGCCTCAGTTTCCTTCTGTGAGGTAACCCATGCTCAGGTTGGCTTTTGGGTGAGCTGACATCCCCAGAAATGTGACAGGAAGGTCAGTGGTTGTGGCTTCCCTCAATGGTGCTGGGTAAACCATGGTTCCCATGGGTGTGACAGGCCCCCAACTGTGAGCCACCTCCCAGTCAGACTCCCATCCCAGCTCAGTGACTGCTTCCTTGGTGTCACAAGGACTTCAGCTGGTGACCCCTGCCTAAGCCGTGACTGCCTAGATGTGGGCTGTCAGCCACCGAAGTGCTAGTCTGAACTTTTTGCTCTGACCTGGCAATTGAATTCAGGGAGACGTGGCCCCAGAAGCATGTTCATGCTGCCGTAAGCATTCAGGAAGAAGTGGCCGCAGATCATGTGCTCATGCTGCTGTTGTGCTCAGGGCCTGCGCAGCCCACAGCCCTGCCCACCAGGAGCCCCCAGCACCAAGGGCAGCGTCTGAGCTGGGTGGGAAGAAAGGGAAGGACACTGAAGGTTTGCATAGGGAAGGAAGGGGCAGAGGGTAGATGTGGAGGCTTTGGCTGCCTCCACCCCGGCCTTCCCCTCCCATCAAGTGTTCATTTCCCCAACTGAGCCGGTGATGAGCATAGTGGCTTCCTCCCTCCCTGTCCCCTCTATGAGGATACAGCTTGCATTTTGAATGTTTGGTTGATCTTGTTTCTGAGATAGGGTCTCACTAATGTCCCTGACTGGCCTGGAACTCATCATGTAGACCAGAATGACCTCAGACTCACAGATCCACCTGTCTCTGCCTTCTGAAAGCTGGAATTAAAGGTTTGGGCCGCCATGCCAGACCTACACTTTGAGGTCACTTGTGCAGTGATTACCTGGCTACAGGCCACAAATAGTCCGGGCAGCAAGGTATCCCCGGTCTTCGGTCTGCACAGCTGCAGGTCCTCTGTACTGCACTGGGAGCCGGGGCGGGGAAGGGGGGGCGGGGAGGGGAGCGACAGCTCACAGGATGGCCCTCCTTCTCATAGAGAACTAATAGCCCGCCGTTCACACAGCCAGGTAGTGGGAGTGACCATGGCAGCATACACATCTGTTTGCACAGCCAGACACTGAGCAGGAAGAGGAATGAAGTCCTGACGCACAGCAGTGGGAGGCCCTTGAGACATCACACTTCGTAGGAGAAGCAGGACACAAAATGCCTCATGCCTTGTGTTTCCACTTCAGAAGAGACAAGTCTGGGGACAGAAGACAGACAGGGCTATGCAGTGTCATTTCTTCTTTGTTTGTTGGTTGGTTGGTTTTCTTGAGACAAGGTTTCTTTATGTAACAGCTCCAGCAGTCCTGGAACTAGCTTTGTAGACCAGAGATCCACCTGCCTCTGCCTCCCCGAGTGCCGAGATTAATGGCGTGCACCACCACCGTCCGGCCCCTGGTGTCATTTCATACTATGACGTGCGTGCTGTGCCAACAGTGATGACTTTTCTGGTCCTCTCCACTTTGCCACATCTTTACATTTTAAGCACCGCTTCTCTTGAGGTTTGTGTTATAACTCTGCAGTTTTAAACATGTAGTTTGGTTATTTGGGGCACATGTACAAGACCAGGCGCCATCCCCAGGCTCAGGTAGGAATGTTGTCAAATCTTGAAGCTAGTTGGTAGCTCACCCCAACCCCTCTGAGCCCCGAGGCTGCTGCAGTGCTGGTCCTGTACAGGGATGGGCAGGGATACCCCGCATCTGAGCTGCTGTGTGGCATCTCCTCCAGGATGCGCTGCCAACCCTTCTCCTTGAACGTCTGCAGAGTGGCCGCAGCAAACACCCCGTTTCACCCTCCTCTGGTGCCTTCCTTTGTGACCCTGCAGTTTGGAAAGTTGATCGTTACCGGGGTTTGGCATCTGGTGGCTATGGGAGAAACTCAGGATGCAGCCTAGAGGCTGGGCGAGGTAGAGGCTCATCTTGCCATACTGTGCCTTGCTGGCTAAGGTGAGGGCCAGTGACTCCTGTGACTCTGGTCTTCTGATGCAGCCCAGGGGTCAGGAGGAACAGGTTCACAGAGTGACCTGACTACAGAAAAGCAGGAGGGGGACACAAGGTCTGGAACTGGGACCAAGGATTGAAAGGCTAGTGTGGGTTCAGCCTCACTCAGCTCATGCTGGGTGGCGGAGGCTCTGTATCGGGTGCTTCTTTGTTGCGGAAATAGAAGTCCTTGCTGTGCTGTGCTTGGCTCCTCCTGACCCCTGCTTCCCACCTCTTCCCCAGCTATCTCTGGTGTCTTAGCTCTCTGCCTGGCAACTTTCCTCACTTGTAGTGACATGGACACGCTGCTTAGCAGGCTCTTTGGCCCAAGCCCCACACTTACTGAACACCAGTTATTCTGTGTCTTGTCTACCTGGAGCTCGTCCTCGCCTGGTGCAGTTAGTGAGTCTACAGGCTGGACCTGGGGGTCTGTCGTGAGCCTCATCGTGCTGTGTCCCCGATGCACTGCCAACTGACCATCTGTGGCTGACTCTAGTGGCAGCTGCAGGCCCTTTCTAGGAATTTAGAGACAGATTTGAGTCTGGCATCCGGCTCTGTAACCTTCAGTTCCTGATCTCCGGGCTCTGTTCCCAAGTTCTGAGGTTACAGGTGTGCACCACCACACCTGGTTCATGCTACGCTGGGGTTGGAACTGCTGGCTTTGTGCATGCTAGTCAGGCCCTCTACCAGCTGAACCATGTTCCCAGTAATTTTTTTGTTGTTGTTATTGATGTTTGTTTGGTTTGGAATTTTGTGGTATTTGTTTTTTGAGATAAAATTTCTCTGTATAGCCCTGACTGGCCTAGAATTCAGAGATCCGCCTGCCTCTACCTCCCAAGTGCTGGGATTAAAGGCGTGCGCCATCACCACCCAGCACTGTGCTGACTAATTTTATGTCAGTTTGACACAGGCTAGTGACATCTGAAACAAGGGAACCCCAACTGAGAAAATTCCTCCGTAAGATTGGATTGTCAGCAAGCCTGTAGGTCATTACCTTAATTAGTGATTGAAGTGGGGGAGGGTCAGACCATTGTGGGTGGTGGTCCTGGATTCTGTAAGAAAGCAGGCTGAGTAAGCCATGGAGAACAAGCCAGTAAGCAGCGCTTCCGCCCCCCCCCCCCCCCCCCCCCCCCCCCCCCCCCCCCCCCCCCCCCCCCCCCCCCCCCCCCCCCCCCCCCGCCATGGCCTCTGCATCAGCTCCTGCCCCTAGGTTCCTGCCTGACTAACTTGAGTTCCTGTCTTGACTAACTTCTGTGACGAACTATTCTGAGGAAGACGGGAAAGCCAAACAAGCCCTTTCCTCCCCAACTTACTTGTGGTTCTAGCCTTTCATCACACAAACAGGAACCCTAACTAGGATGCCACCCTTCGCCATTGCCTCTTTAAATGAAAGAACTTGGGGTTGCTCTGTCCCTTTTCTGCTATCCACCTCCCTAGCTGTGGGTCGAGGCTCTAACACTGGGCTGCATTCGACATGTAGCCGGAGTCAGACACAAGGAATCTCAGAGCGAAGCCATGATGTGACCCCCAAGCATGCTGAGCCCTTGGCAGGCACAGTCCTGAGCTGTGTCTGCACCTGTGCTCAGCTGTGCCTGCACCTGTGCTCAGCTGTGTCTGCACCTGTAGCTATTCCCCACTGCCCCCAGCTTGCCGTGCAGAGAGAGCTGCTTTGGGGCTGCAATTTGTGTACATTTGTGCTGCATTGTGTGAGTATGTGTAGTCGCAGCCCGGCCCCTCATGCGCTGTGTTGACACTTTCAGCTACTTTCTCCTTTCTGTGTCCTAATACCTGACAGGGAGCGCCATAAGCATGGTGAGGAGGGCTGATTTGGGGCTTCTGGTTTGAGAGGATACAGTCCATCATGGCAGGAAAGGCAAAGGCATGCAGTGGTCGCTGCTGGTCACATTGTGTCTATGGTCAGGAAGCAGAGGGAGGTGGATACTTCTTTCTCCTTTTTATTGTCTGGGATGCCAGCCTATGGAATGGAGCTGCCGGCATTTAGGGAGGGCCCTGCTTCAGTTAACCCAATCTGGAAAATCTCTGACCGACATGTGAGGTTGTCCCATAGGTAATTCTAGGTCTTTTTTTTTTTTTTTTTTTTACATGAACCAGTCAGTCACCTTTTATTGGGCACTAATTCTTAGGACATGAAGATCCAGCCAGTTGAGTTCTTCATGGATGGGCACAGGAGAGGCGCTTATGCTCGGGTGTGCGGTCCCCTCATAGTGACCTTCTTCAGTGGTACTTGCGTCGCCGCTCATGTTTGAGTTCCTTGTAAGAAAGGCAGTAGCTGAAAACCACATAGGCTGCCAGCACCATGTTAATCCCCGAGATGCTGCCTTTCCGCACATTGATGTATTTGTTGTAATACCGGTCATAACCTCTCTGAAAGGCTCCCACAATGCCACTGGGGGTGAAATTCCGCATCAATATCCAGCTTGGCAGTTCTCCAAGTTTAACCTCCATAAGCTTCTTCTCCTTCAGTGGCACGAGCGACGCCATCTTGCAGTCCCGGTGTCAGCAAAGCCGTAATTCTAGGTCTTATCAAGTTGATATAAACCAACACATTGGTCTTAGTACTAGTCAAGGCAGTTTCCTGTGGCCGCAGAGAGCCTGTGTTCTGTCTG